GACAATTGCCACATTAAGAATGCAGCTAATAAAAACGTGTTTTTATAACGTATTGTACAACAAATATTTCGCCCTGCAAATCACAGGAAATGTTGTTTCCAAGGCTATGGATTTCAAAATTTTCAAATTCGGCGCGACACGGGTAGGCGGGAGTTAATATTTTTCCTGGCTACGCCACTGTTCACCAGGCCATTCAAACACTTGACAAATTTCCATAAAGGCATCTACCAATCAGAGCACGCGTTTGAAATTTGTTATTTTGTTATGACTATTGCCAAAATTTAGAACCTCAAAACAAAGATAAGCACCACCGATACCAATATTTTGAGTATAGAAATGAAATTATGGTAACGTCCAGTTATAAGCAGCTGCACAACTGATTTATTTGTTATCAAACAGCTTTGACCTGTCATAAAGTTGATTTGCATAGGTTCTCTGTTTGAAAACGGGGCATGTTTTCATTCTTATTAATTTAATGATTTCAGTGCTTAGAGGGAACAAAATTTGTTCTTCATCATATTTAGATTAAAATAACCGAAATTAGTTGCAAGTAACGCTAATTTGTGGAAAATAATGCTTTGCCATTTTCTTTTTCTTTTTTTCTCAGACTTTAAAACGAAAGGAGATCCGTCAACATATGAATGACAATCTAATTAATCACGTGAGCGCCTCTGAAGACAGGCTTATTGTCCCGTCAAATTTACCGCGGTTTAACTTAGGGGCATCGCTTTTATCTATACCAGCCAGCAATAATGCAACGGGAGACCTAAAGGTAGAGTGCCCAAAACCCGTATAACATCCCTTATTTTTGTGTGAGACGCTTGTAGCAGCTCATGAAAAATGCGTTTTATCTTCTCAGCTCGTTCTGTAGTCACAGATATTCGCATAAGGACTGATTTGAATTGGAAACCAAAAGTTTTATTTTTTGGATAAAGCTCATTGAATAGGAATAGTGTCAAATTCAATTTTTTTCTCCAATTGTCTCAAAGATTTTCTTATCAGAGTTGAGTGTTTCCCATGCTCTTAAATTTGATATGCTGACAGCCTGATGGGTCTCAAAGCTTTTATTCAGATACGATTTTTAGCGTGGATACAAAAGAAGAATACTGGTTTTTCTATAAAATCTTAAAATTTTTTTTAAAATTCAGTTTTTTCTACTTGCGATCATTCATTGTGTCCGACCGTTTCTTCCGGAATTGTTTCCTCTTCGACCGATGACGGGATGAAAAATGGCGCCATTGTCGTTTCTCCTGTTTTGAATGTTGCTGCCAAGTTGTGTTGAAATTAAGAACTTGTTGTCGCGTTGTTAATTTTGTTGCTTGTGCGAATGTGATCAATTTGAGTTGGCAATTCATCTCCAAACAAGTATTTCGTAATGGGAACATGCGATGCGCATAAAGTACTAAATTCTGGATGGAGATTGGGACGTATAGCGTCACGTCGTCGTTGAGACAATTCAAAACTTACATGTCCCAGGATCGCTATGAAATCAGCGTTCATACGAACAAGATCATCGATATTCAGTTCGCTGCTGTTATTGCGAGCAACCAACAGTTCATTGGTGGTTTGTCCTGCTATATGACCGACATTCGTCATGGTTGATTAAATGGCACTCAATTGTAAATCTCGCCCTCTAGCTGGGTGGTCTAATTTCCCCCAAATTTCGGGGTTTAGTTTGTAATATAGTGTGGAAAGGAACTTTTTTAACTGATAACGCTGTGAAATCTACGCTCGAACTGATCTTGATATCGCGCGCTCTATCTCACATGACTTCCTAGTGACGTAAAACAGTGGCGAGATAGAATTTGCTTAATTTAACGTTTATATGGGATTTAGCATGGGCTTCTATGGTATGCAATGTTTAGGAAATAATATATATTAATATCGATATTAGATTCATTCTTTTCCTGTGGAAAGCGGGATGCTTTCACTGAAGGTCAATGATGTATTGTCTAACATTAACACCGGATTATGTTACTGATATTTAATACGTAATTCGAGCTTTGCCCATATGAACCACAGAATAGATACATACAGAAGCGCCACTCGATGTCGGAACCTTTGATGTTCGTGTCCGCAGCATCCGGGCAACTTTACACGGCGGCCATGTTTCCAGCCAGATAAATTCAGCAGATCGCAATATAATATATAGTTCTACGGATGGGTTTTGGCAAATAAACCCAAATATTTCTATAGATTGGCTATTTTTTAAATATTTTTTTGTGTGGATACAGTTAACACATCAAGCTCTCAAGAATTTATCATTAATTCGACGTCCGTTTTGATAAATGAGGGTTTATTCGGAATATTTACAAAGTAGATATGTATCTGACGAGATGCGTACTCGGTATATGGTTTGTCGTCAGTTTTAATTTTATCGTATAAGAATTCTACAGAGAATCTTGAAGACATTTGTTCTAACATTTGGAATCTCGGTCGTGGCTGAAACAAGTGACAAATCAAATTATCCTCCAGTTAAGTTTATATATTGCAAACAACGTTTGGCAGGACATTCGAATCACCAAAATTGTCTACCCAGGTGTTTTAAACTATCAGAAGAGATGCTGCATGGCCACTATGAAAGTCATCTGATGCCAAAATATTTTGTATTCATCACAGTTGTGACTTGTGAAGCTTGAATGACTTTTGAGCAAGTTGGAACATAAGCAGCAGCATGTTGGCCTCCACCAATAAAGTGCTTGAATAGCAATTTGTAAAAGATATACTGCCATATGGTCCACATGACTTAACTTTGTTATTTCTGCCTTTTTAAATTCAATCAGGAGATTATTTATATATTTGACATGGATGCTTATTGATGATGTGAGAAGTGAACATAAAAAAGCTTCCTGAATGCTTTTGTGAATTGGATTGGTGTTGGCTTGGCACTTTTCAAATGTTTTAAAAAGTTTTCTGGTGTATCTGTGTTTCACCTTTTGGTAAACATTTTACTGTGTAAAGTATTACAATTTAAATAATGGCATTAAGAGTAACTATAACTGGTTTTGTCAGAATAAGTTCTGTTTGTGACATGATTACTTACAATAAAAATTTAATTTACTGAATGAAGTTTATGGATTTTAACAAAAATTAAATTTTCGAGCCCTTTGTTGCAATAATTTCTCTCTGCTGGTTGATCAATGCGTGAATCAAACATAATTCTAATCATTTTCACATACAATTGTGGTCACAACTCACAAGTGAAGTTTAACCAAAGAGCTAAGCTGTAGGAGCTTGACAATATGTTTGACATAATGGTAAAGTTGTTAATTTAATTGTAACAATTTATCAATAACTTCATTCTTTAAAAATTGTAATTTCATATATTGTTTATTAAAATAAGACAACAAAAACATCTTTATTTGTAAGTTAATACAAATTTGATAGACATGATAGCCACAGGAACTCAATATACAATTACAAATAAAACTTTCAATTACAATTATGCAGACAAGCTACATTGCAAATAAAAGCCCTGATTCAAGAATCAAATATAAAATAAATTAGTTTAGTCCAAATTTTATACCAATAACGTCTTCATCTGAAGAACGTTCTTTACGCACAGTAGGTCGTTTTATCGCTTCTATCAAATCCGTTGACCATTCTAATAGGAAACTCTTTACTAGAAAATACAGAAATGGAATCACACTAAATATATTTATTACTTTTGTCCTAAATTATAAATTCTTAGGGCAACTGCCGTTCAATATAAGAGACGTTCTAAACATGGATCTCGCATACAATTCAAGGCAAGACACTATAAAACCCGTAAAATTATATTTGAAGAACCTATTTTACAACAAAACTGTTTCTCACCTCATATGCTTGGTATCCTATCCGATGGCATTAAAAATTTTTTCCATAAGTGAATTTAAATTCGTCAAATTTTCGAAAAACAACTCTTCATAATATTAATCTATATACATTCTGGCCAGTTTATCTGGCTGGAGTAATGGCGGACGCAAAAGATGCGCACTTAAGAACTGGGTACAAGTAGGGGACAGATTTTTCGCTGAGTGGCGCTTCTGTATGTATCTATTCTGTGGTTTCGTCAAGTGTTTGCGGTATCTCTTCCCGCAGCGGGACAACTGTTAGTTGTTCTGCTTCAGAATTGCGCTTGGTCGAAAGTTCTTCGCAATCTGCGTCATGCCCAGACTAAAGCACTTGCTTTCCTCTTACGAGTAGATTTTACTGTAGAGGATACTGATGTTTTCTGTAATAAGCTGAGTGATTTACTCATTGTGGTTGTTGCTTCACTCATCCTACCAAGGGTGGTTGCCACATTCAAATTCCTTGATGTGACTTGCACATCTTCGCTTTCTTCAATGTTATCGTGTTTATCGTGATCAGCAAACCCGGAGTGCTGTTTCATCTCCTGTCGTATATTTTTAATTATATTCATAATTCAAAAATTTGTAATATAGTGTGGAAAGGAACTTTTTGTAACTGATAACGCTGTGAAATCTACGCTCGAACTGATCTTGATATCGCGCGCTCTATCTCACATGACTTCCTAGAGACGTAGAACAGTGACGAAATAGAATTTGCTTAATTTAACGTTTATATGGGATTTTGCATGGGCTTCTATGGTTTGCAATATTTAGGAAATAATATATATTAACATCGATATTAGATTCATTCTTTTCTAGTGGAAAGCGGGATGCTTTCACTTAAGGTCAATGATGTATTGTCTAACATTTACACCGGATTATGTTACTGATATTTAATATGGAATTCGAGCTTTGCCCATATGAACTGTTCAGCATGCTTCCAAACAAAAATCAGCAGGAATATTCAGTTGATTAATCTATGATAAACCTTTCACCTTTTAACTCTGCTATACCGGTCACAAGCCCGTGACTTGTAGCGTATAAGGCTTTCTACTTTTGAGTAGACTTGTGTTATTATATATTAATTGAAATTGGATCACGCGCCATTTTATTCGGGACTCCCCTTAAAGCGTTAGGGTTTCCCCCAATTATTTGTTCGTTTGTAAAGAGTCGAGCTTAACACGGCATCTTCAAGCTGTATGCAAGAACGACTATTTGTACTCCTAAATATTTACGTAAGTATTCAAAATTTTGTAATAATAGTCATGTAACGTTTGCGTAAGCGACGGGATTTTAATTGAGCGTTGTTCCCTCACAATTCATGTTGTATGTTTATGGAGAAACAAAATTTCTGTGACGTTGTTTGGATGTATATTGTCGCTATTCAATAGTCATGTTCATGGTAATTTTTGGTGAATTTTTAACAATAATATAAAGTATGATTTGTAGTATGGTATTTTTGTAGCCTATAGAGATAAATCCGCCCTGTCAGAAATATCAAACATTAACTAATTTAGCTTTACCTAAACGTTGCATTCCCAACAACAAGTTGAAATTTTAAAGGTCAAGCGCACATAAATATATGTTTCAGGTTTTAATACTTTCTTATTTTGATATTGCTTGCTCCCATTATAACGTCGCTTGAATGTGTTAAACAATACGTAGTTTGGATGCAGTATTTCGCTTGTTTTCAAAAATATGAAATGTGTTCTTTCAAAGACTTTTTCTTGTAAGATTTACCTTGTATTAGTTGCGATCGGCTGATAATCAATGGGGAAGTATGAAATGTTATTGAAAGAAACTAAATAATTGTTACACAATCCAAAACCTTTGACAGGCTAACATGAAACATGTACACGTACTTTGCTTACCTATTTCAAAGGAAAAATCCCATTTAGGCAGGTATCAGGTCACGTGCAGGTCAAAAATTTTGGTATTTTTGCTAACAATTGTTGCATACGTTTTCCAATTTTTTGAGCTGCTACACTTTATACGCACCTATGTAAGCACCCCATGTTTTTAGTGTTGAGACATCCTTGCTTTTTCATTCTAGAGAACTTTCCTGTGCATATCCAAAAATGCTTTGTATTATTTGTGTACAGCAACTCTTCTATTTTACTCATTTGAAAATTTCCATCATTCCATGATAGCGAAAGTGCTCACAAACCTATACATTTGCCTCACTTCCGCGTATTGTAAACATACGAGTTAGTTTAAAGTTAATTTCTGAATACAGCCTTATTATACATAGGTATAATTATGTATAATTATGTAAGATTTGTAGTCACATCAGATATAGTGATGAATTGAGTATGAAGAGTAGAAAATCTAATGATGTACATAAAGTAAATTGCTAACCGGTACAAGAGTTTATATTTATGCACTTCATTTAAATGAATTAAGCAATTTCAACTGTTTTTGAGTAAAATTACCATAACGATCAACATGGCCTACGAAAAAGTACTGAAATGGAGACCCTCGGAAATATGGCGTTGACGTACGTACCTCCAACTTCCATAAACAAAAAAAATTTTCCTGAAGTACTTACCCAGCTAGCAAAATCACGTTGTCTCAACGTTTTACCAACGTTCGTCGAACGTTCACACAACGTCGAAGACCAACGTTGAGACAACATGATTTTGTAAAATCGTAGGAACGTGGTGGCGACGTTAGGATGAACTTTGGGATGTAACGTATTTTCAACCTAAACCCGACGTTTATACAACGCTCATACAACGTTTATCCAACGTTCATACAACATACAATAAATGATGCATTATTTGTGAAATCATAAAACAGCCTTTCTAATGATACGAACTATAGTTTAATTTCCGTATAATCAACTTTTAATTCATCTATTTTGCTGTGCGTTTTTTAATATACATATTTACAAAAATGCTAATTAAGCCGATTCCAATAAGTTGCCATTTCGCACCTGCAAGAAAATAACATATATGATTATTAGAAAATGGTAGTCTATACATCATTTTTATTATATGTCTTACCACCTACAACAACAATGACAAATTTGTCTGTAAAAGATGCCATTTAAATTGAAAACTGAATCGTCTGCTTACGTACGTCGGACATAAGAACTTATTACGCGCTACAACGTCATCTCATACGCACGAGAAGCAAAACAAGTGAACAAAACTTTAATCGTTACGGCACCTTTTTCACATTTAACCAACACTTGCTTTTTTATATAAATAATAAAACGATCATTGAATTGGGTTTTCACGTAATATAAAGAAATATCAAGGCATCAATGTGCTCTATCTGCCTCAGCGTTAGTAGATTGAACAAACCTTGGCCTTCATAAGTCTTAATTCATAAACTATTTCATTCAATAATTGTTTAATATCACGCTAAGCGAAGTGTATATTATAAATCTAATCATGCAGTTTGAGTTAAGAAAATTTAAAACTTGCACAAATCTAATACCTGCACTAAAATGAACGTTTTTAAAGGTACGCATGATGTATATGTGTCCATTCCATTTTGCTTTACTTTTAATTGAAGGACAATGAAAGACACATGCTCACTTTCTTTAAGTGCACATGCCAATAATGTTATTGGGTATTTTTCTCAACTTACACAGACAAGAAAATACAAATATCTTAACTATGAGATTACGAAGTAAAATAAGTTAAATTCTCCCTCTCTAAGTTAAAAAATCAAACAAAGTAAAAATAGCATCTATATACTTTACACAGCAATCTATGATGATAATGACATGTTACCTTAAATCTGGAACCACCTTGCTTGCCTGGAGCATATTTTAAAAATTCGGCAATTTGCTCTTCAACGTAGGCCTCGTTGCATCCTTTATGAGCTTTGAGGCAGGAGTCTAACAAGTGAAACGAAATAGAAAAGACATACTTTAAATAAATTGCATAGATAAAACACCAAATCCTCTTCGTAAGCTGAATGATAAACAACAATTCATTATAGTGACATATGCAAAACAGTTAAATGCATTAGCTTTTAAAACTTGCAACAATATTCCTTATGACAAGGAGCAACATAAATGGCTGATTTTCCAATTCATGAACGAGAAAAAAGAGACAAAACATGGTACTGCTGCAGCAATCATTATCGTCTAATTGTGCTTACTTGTTACAACTTTGCAGAGGGCAAGGTGCTGAAATGGTCGCTTTGACTTTCTGCCTTTTAAACTACATTGGGACCATAGATTATTTGTTCCCAGCTTTGTCATAATTTTCTAACACTGTTTGCACAGGTGTTTGCGCACAGTGCTACCAAATTAAGGCTTTTTGGGTTAAAATTATGCCAATCCACTAGTTATAAACTAATTAGTTAATTCAATTACAGCAATGGACATTTTTATATTTTTGGTGTAGTTCGTTTTGAATTGTGCTTTTAATAAACTTAACATTTGCCATCTTACGGATCAATTCTGATTACCAGAAACAGCTTGAAATATACCTAAATGATACAACCAAACATCGGACATGATCTTAACAAACCTTTATAGTTTCTACAATAAGAATTCTATATCAACTTTCCTTCGTTTAATTTATCAGAATATAATGTAATGTTATCTTATCAAGGCGTGAGATTTACTTTTCCCAACATTTAATCCAACGAACGCCTAGTTTGTCTTATTAAACTTAAACAAGCAAATGAAACAAAAGTTACACAATCTGATATTGTAAATTTTCATGTATAAGACGAACTCTTAATTATGGAGCTAAGGTTTTTTTTAACAAACTCCCAAAATACCAAGGAAACCATATAAAATGCAGACAAGTTAATAAAAACAATAAAAATCATAAGGCCGTATCTTTGCTTTACATAACAATAAACTTTTAATATTTTATATTAAGTTGCACAAAATAATTTTCCACGTATCAACTCAAAGGACGCAATCATTTGACGCTTAACTTTTCAGAACGTTAAGTGATTTGAAAGATCGAATGTTCAAAGTTTGGAGCCATCAACTAGTAAAAGGTTTGTAAGACTAAAGATAAAGAATTATCGTGTGTGTTAACGATCTGTAAATGAGATCTTAAATAATAATTGCTCATCATATTTAATTGATAAACTTTTAATAAATATTGGTCACACCCAAGTACTATACCAAGTAATATACATCATAGATACCCGTAGCACTTTGCAATCCTGTAATTGTACACCAATCAAACCAAGTTACAAATACAAACATATTAACTGCTTACCAAAAAAAATCACTGCCATTCATCTAAAATATAACGTGTTTAACATGATGTGTTTAATTGTAATTTAATTTATGTTTATTAAAAGTGGTTTTTTGCCTTTTAGCAACGTTATTATTTTGGAAATGTTGCATTTCTTTAAATGTTTATCCATAAACCATTTATACTAAAGATTTCAACAAGCACAATTCAGACGTTCATGACATATAATTGTGCAATGATATTGTGTTATTGAACGGGCAAGAGTACCAATAGTATAAAAATAAAACTGACATATCGAGCTGTAGTTTTTTTACCAATCGCTCCCAAAGTACCTTAAGAATGGTATAATGTAAAATAATTTACACTTCTCATTTCTATTGATGATTTCGACCCAAATTAAATTCGAATTTATTAAGAAAAACAATAAAAATCATAAGGCCGTATCTTTGCTTTTACATAACAATTATCTTTTAATGTTTTAAATTCAGTTGCACAAAATAATTTGCCACGTATCAACTCAACGGACGAAGCCATTTGACGCTTAAATTATCAGAACATTAAGAAATCTGAAAGATCGAATGTTCAATGCTTTAACCGTCGACCAGTAAAAGTTTGTAAGACAAAAGACAAAGAATTATCGTGTGTGTAAACGATGTATAAATGAAATCTTAAATAATAGTTGTTCGTCAAATATACTTAATACACTTTTAATAAATATTAGTCTCAACCTTAGTACTATAAAATATACATCATAGATACCCGTAGCATCTTGTGATCCTGTAGTTGTATACCAATTAAACAAAGTTACAAATACAAAAAATTTGCTTACCAAAAAATCACTGTCATCTAAAGGAAGGCGTGTTTATCATGATGTGCTTGCTTGCTAAGGAATTCAAATTGTTTGCTAGCATGCAATTATATTTATCTTTGGGTGAGGACGGTATATTTATAAAATATGTGTTATTTCATTATACTTGTGATAGTATGAAATGACATTTATAAATCAGGAAGAAAATTTAGTTTGAAATTGCAAATGGACTCATGCATGCTATCATTGAATATTTTAAATATTTAGTCGTTTTTTTTAAACATTTAGTCGTTTTGTAACGTTGCAATTATCTTTCGTCGAGCTGTTAACGCTAAGGTGATACATACAAATTCATAGCATTAAATAAAAAAACTGAAAATCTTTGATTTCTGATTTGTAAAAACAGAGCTTTTGGACCACATGGTGGTGTACAGCAGAAATTCTTATAAAATTCTGCTATGTTTGAGGCACTTCTATTTAAAATTAAACCGATTAACTAAATATAAACTAATTATTCAATTCAATTACAGCAATGAACATATTTGTATTCTAGGTTTTGAATCGTTTTGACTTGCGACATTGATATACTTAACTTTTGCCACCTTACGAATCAATTCAGATTACCAGAAACAGCTTGTAGTTAAATATACCTAACAGATGCAACAAAATATTAGACTTGATTTTAACAAATCTTTATAATTTTTACAAGAATAATTTCGACCATAGAAATATTTTCTGAAAACTTTAACTTTAATACGCTTAAATTTAATACGCTTTAATACGCTTTAATAAGCAGAACTTTTTTTAACTTCAGGTCAGCTTGCCTCTAATCGTTTATCAGATATGTTTGGATAAATGAGTAAAATTATAATTCATTAATTTTTGTTGCTGTCCTTTTCGTCCAAAATGCACATTTACTATAAAAATTCATTGTACATTGGGAAAATCGGAGCAACTCTTATGCATTTAATTGTTTTAGTTTAACTTATCCCTAAATGTACTGACTTTATGTCTTTCAAAGAATTGCAGTTGAAACTGGGGATAAACAGTGACGAAAAAGACTTTAGAGACGGTGAAAAACCCGATTTTGAAGGTCAATAAGAGTGGTGCATGCTCATTTTTATATAACAAATCATTGAATGTGATTCACGTGAAACGGCTTTTTACTATCATGCATAAGCCTCAAAAATTTTAACAAGGTCTTAATTTGACGCTTGACAAGTGATATGCTAATATTTATTTTTGCTTCATTTACCATTTTTTGATTTGACAGATCTTGCATGAAATGGAAGCGTCTTCTTCAAGACTTTATGAAGAAACAAGTGAAGCCAGTAGTAAGCGTCGCAGCCCTAATATTGACGGCAAGTAAAACTCATGCCTTGTTACTAACAAATCATAAGTAATTGAATGAAAATCTCGGGTAAAGTATTCAACGTAAGCAAAATGACGAGTGTCTAAGTGGTATGACAAAACACAACATACCCATTTATATTTGAAGGTAAAGTAAAGTATGTTAGTAGAGGGTATAGGGAGGTGTCAGTGAGTGATGTGTAAAGGGAAAACCAAGGAGATGCACTGAAAGAGGACAAGTCGAACCTTAATGCTTTGATGTGTTGTTGCCTATTTTCTCGAGATAATTTATGGCAAAGCAACAGAAAGAGAAACATGTAATCATTTACTGTTGAAATTTTACGCTTGTGTGCGAGGAAGTCATATATTCTGCATTTTTATGAGAAATAGATATGGCTATATGACGAATGGCTTTTAAACATTGGAACTAAAAAAAATGCACGATTTGAGAAATAAAGTATTTGCATTTGTCGCTTGTTATAGAAGCAATGTTTCCACACTACAAAGACATTTTGTTTCATATTATATACAATTTACGCATAGTTTTCAAATTTGAAAATGACTTGGAGCAATGAGCATACATCACAACAGAGTTTAGACAATAATGTCAATATTGAAATATCGAATTTTAAACTGTTTTTTGTACGAAATGTATACAATGGCATAAGTATGAAATATTTACCATAGTTTCTGAGTAGCAGCAAGTTTAAAAAACATTTAAAAAAAAGATGATTTTTCATAAGCAAACATGTTTCTACATTAACAAAATGCCATCTTCAGTACGAAATGATTAGTGTTAAGAAATATGATACAGTATAGGAAGAGGCGATATGAATAAATTTTTCACACTGAATGGGAATGTGATATAGTTAAAAAGCGTTTTAATTGTTTTATCTTGAAAGTCGGTAGCCTCCATTGCATCTATCGATCTATTGTACAACCTCTAGTTTTGAACTCCTTTCGAACAACTTTATTCTTAATTCAGACGACTGACACTTAAATTACGTGGTCTCAACTCTGCTCCGAAAATTGATGTAAAAAACTACAATTTTCTGTGTGTCGTCTCAGCTTGATCACAAATTGATCGATGTGTAGCATTGTTTACATATAGACAAATCTAAAAATCCTATCTTTTATTTTCTGATTACAGATAAACTGCACTGCAATCGACTAATTAGAATTGAGAAATATCTCAAAGTGTATTTTTACAATCTATATTACATGGTTTTTATGGGTTTGATTGGAATCTACCACTTTCACCACTTATATTTTCGTATGTCACGTGATACAAACTGTAAACATTGCGTACATTGTCACAGCTCAATCATACATTCTTATATAGCGTGGACTGTTTTTGCTAGAAAAATTTCAGGTATTCTTTTAGCAATTTTATGACACAAATATCTTTTTTAATTTTGTTATAAAAGGCAGTGGTTCTGTTAGTTATATAGTTGCTAGCTTCTATAGTCAATCATAATCGACTTTAGAATATGTGAATACTGAATAGTGTGGATGGAAAAGATCGTTAAAACGTTATGTGCTTTGTGTATTTTTTAACAACGATTCTCGCCATACGAAGTTGATGAAAAATAATGAAACTGGTAACAAAGTATAATTTTTAAAGGTTCGTGTACAATAAAGTGAAATTTTGCACCATATTCAACTTTATGTCTGATTGAATGTTTAAATTAGCTACGCCGTCACATAGCTAACCCAATTCTTTTTATGTGACCCAAGATCATTAACTAGAGGCAACATTCATCATTTACCTATTGACTGTTACTTCTAAGAGACTTAAAAAGATAGTTGTGTTACTAAACTGCCCTAAGAACACATCAATACTCGAAAATTTCTCAAGTCAAAACAGTCATTGCCGTATGAAAATATATGATAGAGCTGTGAACATTATAGGGAATATACAGTAGGTCCATATCCTGTGCAACTTGCTGCTGTATATCTAATTAGATTATTGGCTGCTGTTAGCCATTTTGTCATTCCTGTTGGTCAAAAAAAGCAATTGACTGGCTGCCACTATGGTAATCACATGCGTAATGAGATATGTGTTGCACGAAAAAAATCCTTGGAGTGTCTCTACTGTATATTCACTACAATGTGTCTGTGACTATGTACGCAATGTTCACAGTTTCTAGGTACCACGTGACATGCAAAATATTACTCATGTTTTCTAAGCAGAACTTCCTTGTAATTTGCAGCAAGATTGTCTTAAAAGTTGTTGACATTGCTCCATAGAAATAAGGAATGAATATTATTCACAGAATGCATGAATTTATGTAAATGAAAAAGACACAAGAAGAGCACGTTTCAAGAATAAGAGTTAGACATAGAGAAGAGTATGGCCCTGTTTACATGTCACCGGAACGAAGTCAAACCGCTACCAGCTGGTGTCGGTCATAATATTATTTATAGTAAATGTTTACATGGGATCGATACGAAAATAACTCAGAGCAGTCTGAAGTCGTACCTCCTGCTGAACCGATCCGACTAAGTGCAGAACGGTATGAATTGAAAAACCGGCATCAATGTAAACTCAAATTAATGTTCAGACCGGTCTGAAATAGCATCAACGCATGCGCACAAAAGCAAATTAAAATTAGCCTGCAAAGGAGGCATTATGCGAATGAGGATTTTTCGTGATTTCGTGCCGGTCCCATGTAAACATGCAACAAATTCTGATTTTCATTTCAGTTTAACTTCGTTGCAGTCTCATGTAAACAGGGCCTACGTAGATAGGGTGGAGGCAATTATAAGTTATGTACACAGTAAGAAGCGTAGAGAAAAATAAAAAAATAAGAGGTGTATGAATACATTGAAGGAAGACAAGGGGAACCTCTACTTGTTTATCATTATGAATGACGAAGTCTTAGCTTTAGTTAGCAAAGTGCTCATATTTTGGCATTTTACTTACAAACACTATCTATTCATACGGTTTGGGTTATTGTAAAATAACCATAGGCCAAACGTCTCCATACAACGGAGAAGATGAATCATGCTCTAGAATGTAGAGGAATGAGTAATGTGGTTACACGAGGTAGAAGTTCAGATTGATGTAGAGTGATGTGGATGGAATGGAGAAAAAGTCCTTCGTGTTAAATGACAAAATAATTTCAACTAATATGAAAAGAAAGGTGTACAATACAGTAAAAATCCATCATTGTTGTATGGTTTTGAGATAGTGGCAATGGTAATAAGACAGATGGCGGAGCATGGAGGTTGGACAAGTAGAGACTCTTTAATCTGTCATTTCATTAAAAGTTTAGTAGCAAAGATTAAAGACTTTATCTAAAAGGCAAAAGAGTGAAAAAATCTTTTGTTGAAACAAAGCCGTTTTGTTATATCTTCCACTATAAAATATAAAATTTAGCATAAGAAATAGCTACATGCTTCAAAAAACTTTAATTTTTCTACACTCAAAATCATTTTGTAAGCATTGCGTTGTTTAAACGAAAGTGCTATATTAAATTAAAAACAACATTTTTCTGTGTCGATTGCCTTTAATCATAACAGATATATGTTTGCATGATTGATTAATTTTTGACAACTTTAATGATTGGTGCTAAGATTTTACAAAAATTCGAAGTCGTTATCCAAATTTTAGTTGTATTTGAGTAAATACGAGCTACATATTCTTATGAATTTGATTAGTTTTGTTGCACTCACCTCTGAATGTAATACTTTTATGTCATTTAAAGAATGACAGCTGTAAGAGTGGGAATATCTTGCTCATTCAGTTCAGCATAGAAGTCTATTGTCAGAATTGTGTTATCCCGGAGCAGACATTGACAATTGCGTTTCTTTTCTGTCATCATAATTATTTCACCTCCTACTACTTTACTTCAACGTCTTATGATAAATTAGTGATTATTGTAATTAAGTTATCATAATCTTAACAGATTTTGATTTCATCATTAAGTAGTTTCTGATTTTGATGGTTGATGGAAATTTAATTTTGCAAAATTAACATTCTGTATTCTAATCTTTCGGGAATTAAAGGAATTTGTGCTACCTTTTTGTGTTTATTGTGTTTGTGTCACTCACCTCATGAAACTAATACTTTTATGCCATTTTCAGAAAAACAGTTTCCGAAGTGGAAATGCACTGATGAATCAATAAAGCACAGAAAATTGTTGCTAAAGTTGATAGAATATGGACGTAATCCCAATGTGAAGGTTGAAAATGTGGGCGATGTACGTGTAATTTTCTTAGACGAGTTTTGCATTGGCAAAGGAAGTGATGGAACACGTGTTTATCTTGGACTGGGTAAGGATGGTTACGGTAAAGCAGTGAAACGAATAAATCGAGATAACTACATCCAGCTTGCGCTGCACGAAGAGGAAATTTTGAATAAATTCAACGCAAGAAATTCGAAATTTGTTGTGAATTACTCTTTCCTAGAGAAAGGGACTGGAACAGAATATGTATATTTGATATTAGACTTATGTGAAGAATCATTGGAGAGTTTTGTCAAGTCTTCTACTTTACATGATCTTCAAAAAGCTTTTCCCGAAATTCTCAGACAAATTTTGCAAGGATTAGTTGATCTTCATAGCGGCCCAACTCCTATTCTTCATCGTGATTTAAAGCCCACCAATGTTCTTCGAGATTCACAAGGCAACTTTCTGATAGCTGACTTTGGCATTAGTCGAATATTGGATAACGATTCTACGACACATAAAAGCAGTCCTAATATGGGAACTGAGTATTGGATTGCTCCTGAATCATATTGCGAAGATAAAGATACAATTGATAAGGGACGGTACAAGAAAGAGTCTGATGTATATGTAAGTGTAAGAATATGAAGATTGTTTTATGCAGTGCGGTGTTTGAAATTAAATGTAGATATGTCTTCGTCACTTTGTTAATTTCCTGCTCAACACTGTGTGACTTCATAGCTCAGTTGGTCAGAGTACTGCACCGGCACCGCAGAGGTCATGGGCTTGAATCACGTTGAGTCACCTGAATTTTTCAGGTTCATGAGACAATTGCTTAAATTGTCCAACAAAGTGTAGAAGATCATATCTACATTTAAGTGTAAGAATGTTAACATTTACAAAACTCACAGCGAAATTTAATTTTGTGAGAGTTTATTATCTTAGAATGCAGGAATGGTGGCATATTATGTTGCAACAAAAGGGAAACATCCTTTTGGAACTAAACGGCTTAGATTGGACAACATGTTAAATGGGGAACCTGTTGGCTTGGATGAAATCAAGGATGAAACATTAAAAGATCTTCTGTCGTGGATGTTAAAACTACAACCAGAAGAAAGACCATCTGCTAACGAAGCCTTGACACATCCATTTTTTATGTCGGATGACGAGAAATTTCACTTTTTATGTAAAGTTGGAAATCTTCAACAGATTAAGACAAATGATCCCCTGTGTAGTATCGTCCAACAATTGAATATTGAATCTTCAAATTGGAAAAGTCAAATGGATAACGATGTTTATGAATATTTGGTAAATGGAAGAGAGTATAAATCTTCATGGACAGAATGCTTAAAGCTTATTCGAAATATTGGCCAGGATTGGAACGATCGACCAAGACTACAACCAGAACAATTTAATAAGATTGGCGATTACAAGGCGTATTTTCTCCGAACATTTCCTAATCTCCCTGTTCGGGTACATGCAGCTGTCAGGTCAAATGATGAATTGAAAAACAAACCAAAACTTAAGGGTAAGCATGCTAGCTTGAATTTTCTCATTTTTTATTACACTTAAATTATGTGATCGTTGTACAATAGCAATTTGATTACATAATGTTTTTACGTGATAATGACATCATTTCTTTGCTCATTAGTCTTTATTTACTTAAGTTCGAAGAAAAAAAATATGAGAAAAATATTCATTACTACCATCAATATATATTGTAAAAATTTTGAAGATTGCAAAAATGAGCCAATTTGACTATATGAATTCTCAAAGTTGCACAATAAAAAGAAGGCTATTTACAATTTTCATTATGAATAATTTAGCATTAAATTGCACATTTATTAAACGATCTTCTAAATTCTAAATTTACAGAAAATTACAAGTTTTTTTGCGCTCTCTCCTTACTAAGTATATTGAAGATTACCTCTTCAGTGTGTACATCATTCAAAAGTCCACAAAGATCATTTTCTAGTTTAGAATTAAATTTTGAATACTTTTTACTTAGAAGTGCATTTTGAAAGTTGCATAGAGCATAAAAGTTGGTGTATAATTTATTTCCACTAGAAACTTTCCCAAAATAGATAAGCAAATAACGTTACAAATCATAAAACATAAAAACAACGACTTTATTCATTGATTTCAATAAATTACTCCCACTGATCTCAAAATAAGTAAATATAATTATTTGGACTATATTAGAATATCAAGTGAGTCCAAAAATCTCATTTATGATTCAAACTGTGTCTTAATTGATGATTGTCAACTGGCTTAATAAACTCCATTAAAAGGTGCGCGTGAATCAGTTCAAGCCACTTACGACTTAAGCCACCCGATTGAGCAAGCATAACGCTGCTGCTAAAATATCGCTTACAGAACTCAATGGATGTATCATTTTTTCTTACATATGGTAGCACGGACCACTGTATAGAGGGCCGAAACTAGAACTTTTAATGGGGTGGGGAGATAATGTTTAAAAAACGCTGCTGATGAAATATCGCTCACAGACTTCAATGTCTGTATCATGTTTTTTTAGATATTGTAGTACTGGCCACTGTGTACAGGAACGAAACTATAATTTTATTGGGGTTGGGGAGGAGGTGTTTAATAACGCAACTGCTGAAATATCGCTTACAGATCTCAATGGCTGTATCATGTTTTCTCAGATACTGTAGCACGGACCACTTTATAGAGGACCGAAACTATGACTTTTATTGGGGTGGGTGAGGGGTGTTTAATAACGCTGCTGCTGAAATATCGCTTGCAGAACTCAACGGCTGTATCATGTTTTTTTAGATATTGTGGCATGGACCATTGTATAGAGGACCGAAACTATAACGTTTAGTGCGGTGGGGGAGGGGTGTTTAATAACGCTGCAGATGAAATATCGCTTACGGAAGTCAATGGCTGTATCATGTTTTCTCAGATATTGTAGAACGGACCACTGTATAGAGGTCCACAATTCAAATAAACAATAGATCAGTAAATTGACAGGCAGATGGATAGATACAAAATTAATATGAAAATGTTTTTGTTTAAAAGCATGGAAATGATTGGTTTAATTGCTCTCTTTAACTCTATTTATAAGAGAACTCCAAAGGAGCGTTGTATTGTTCGTGAAACTTTTTAAAATTTTTAAAAGGTGATTGTGTTGGCAAAAGATAATTAAACAGTTCTGCCTCGTACATAAAATGCATCCATATACAAAAAAGATGTTACAACATTTGAAGCCAGATTTTCAATCATTTGCTTGCATCGTTCGTGTTGCTTATCTTGTCAATTTATTATACTTTAACACTTCAACATCATTATTTTTTTCACATGTTTCTAAAACAGACCAGAATTTTATCAAAAGGACTAGAAAATATGATAAGAATTCAAATCGCTTACTTTTTTCGTGGGGGGAAAAATTTATTGTATTTCATGATGTTGGTGTTTATTTAAAGTAGCATTCCTATTAAATATACTAGCCGCTGACCATATACCAAATATGGTGGTATGAACAAAACGTGCGATATATACGTATTCCTAGGCAGGTTAATATTGTTGAGCTATCTTATGTAAAACTCGTATTTTCTGAAATAAAATAAATCGTTCTAAACTATTCGCGATCCATCGACATATTCAACAGATGATTCCTTTTCTCCCTGGGCGAAAATTTCCTCAAAATGGAAATTTTCTCGATAACGAAAAACCCTGACACAATAGACACATGACAGACAAATTTTTTCTTTCAAATAAATCATCATATGCCTAATAAAATAATTGAAAATTGAAAATAACTATTTTCAATTCGACAAAGGGAAAACAATACTAGCAATCGTTTTGAAGAACGCAAATACCATGGGGAATCGGAAAAGTAATTATCCATGGCATTTGCGATCTTCAAAACGATTTTCAGATTTGTCACCACGATAAAGTATCTATTTTAATACTAACAATGTTTCACGAGAATAAGAAAAAGCATGAGGTAGAGTTTAAGTTTGTAGAAATATAGATAACATGGTTCACTTCACCAATGAATAAGAGAAACAGTACGTGTCAGATAATTTAGAGTTAAAGCATAAAATACCTATGAAACGAAAATTTAGCAACCGGTGTTATACTTTTATTGAACAGATATTTTGATATGATAGTGGACTTTCTCTACTAGTTTATGCATAACAGTTTTCATTCTCGATCTATTTAAGTTTTTATTATTTCCGATTTATCTGATATCCCACTGGATAATGAGAACTAGATGTATTAGATAAATTTGCTGATATATTATTTTAAGATGGCGGTGTTTCCTTCTTTGTGATGTGTTAATGATATAAAGTACTGCGTACCACTATCAGCCTAAAGTTGTCAGGAAACTGAAGAGTATTTGGAACATTGTTGCAGCGACTCATTTTGCATGCAATATGATGTCACAAGTTAGATAAATTGGTAATTGCAAGGACTTCAATATTTTTAGAATCAAAAAAGTGATGCAGAAAAGGTTTTATAAAGCACCTTGTCATTTCAAAGTTGTGATCAATACAGATATAATTTAACTAGGAAAATTTTTGTTTCATTGTAACTTTAAGATGTCCAAACAAGGTTTGGGAGAATAATTGTAGAGATCGAACTTCAATGCAAATGTTTAGCAACAAGCATGAGATAGTCTATCTAAAAGACGAGTGTCGAGAATAGAAAGAAAAATTTTGTGATCAAGCTATTTTGTGATCTTTTGGTATAAAAAATTTTTTAGACTCTAAAAAATATATGCTCTCAAAGTTTTAATTTAATATTTTCGAAAAACGCAAGGTTACTCCTTAGCAAAAATTCATGACATTACTGAAGAGGGAAGTTTTTGTGATTAATTGTTTAGTATAAGCTAACCTCGAATGATATCAGTTAAAAAATTTATGATATGTCTAATAATTGTTAATACTTTCTTAAAAGTGTACGGTAACGGTATCCTTTCCTAATTGGGGAAGTTTAAGCTATTTCAATGTATTTATTTCGTTTCTTTAACCCTTAAATGTAGTCTTTTTATCTAGAACAGGGGAAATACATTGATCAAAAATTTGCAGTAGCTAATAATATCGTTTCCTGATTGGGAAAGTTTAAGCTATTTTGACGTATTCATTTCGTTTCTTTCACCCTTGAATGCAATATTTTATCAAATATTTTTAGAATTGGTTGAACAAGAGTGGAAATACATTGATGAACCAACGAAACATAGAGAATTGTTTTTGAAATTGATTGAATATGGACGCAACCACAGTGTTGAGGTTAAAATGGTGGGCAATGTACGTGTAATTTTCTCACCCGAGTTTTGCATCGGCAAAGGAAATAATGAAACCCGTGTTTTTCTTGGACTGGGTAAGGATGGTTACGGTAAAGCAGTGAAACGAATACCTCGAGATAGATACATCCAGCTTGCGTTGCACGAAAAGAAAATTTTAAATACATCCAACGCAAGAAAGTCGAAATATGTTGTGAATTATTCTTTCCTAGAGGAAGAGACTGGAACAGAATATGTATATTTGATATTAGACTTATATGAAGAATCATTGGAGATGTTTGTCAAGTCTTCTATTTTGCATGATCTTCAAAAAGCTCTTCCCGAAATTCTCGGACAAATTTTGCAAGGATTAGCTGATCTTCATAGGGGCCCAAATCCTATTCTTCATCGTGATTTAAAGCCCACCAGTATTCTTCGTGATTCACAAGGCAAATTTCTGATATCTAATTTTGGCATAGGTCGAATATTGGATAACGATTCTACGACATATGAAAGCATGCCTAACATGGGAACTGAGTATTGGATTGCTCCTGAATCATATTGTGATGATATAGATACAGTCGAAACAGGACGGTACATGAAAGAGTCTGATGTAATGGTAGGTGCAGGAATATGACCATTTGCAAGACATGCATATATGCAGTCGATATTTAACATTAGATTTTTAATCTTTTTAGAATGCAGGAATGATAGCTTATTATGTTGCAACAAAAGGAAAACATCCTTTTGGAACTAAACCGTATAGACTGATTAACATGTTGAATGGAAAACCTGTTGGCTTGGAGGAAATCAAGGATGAAACATTGAAAGACCTTCTATCGTGGATGCTAAACCGAGAACCTGAAGACAGACCATCTGCTAACGAGGCGTTAAAACATCCATTTCTTATGTCGGATGACGAGAAATTTGACTTATTAAGTAAGATTGGAGATCTTCAGCAGATTAAGACAAATGATCCCCTGTGTAGTGTCGTTCAACAATTGAATAGTGAATCCTCAGATTGGAAAAGTCAAATGGATTGTGATGTTTATGATTATTTGGTGAATGAAAGGCGCTATAAATCTTCATGGACAGAATGCTTAAGACTAATTCGAAATACTGACCAGGATTGGAAGAAACTAACACTGCAAAAACCACAACAAGAACCATTTTATAAGATTGGCGATTACAGGGCGTATTTTCTCCGAACATTTCCTAATCTCCCTCTTCGTGTACATGCTGCTGTCAGGTCAAATGAAGAATTGAGAAACAAACCAGAACTTAAGAACTTTTTTAATTTTAATGAAAGCGAACTACATCAATAAACAATTTAGATACAACAGAACCTGTAGGGGTGAAAAAAGTAGCTATTAAGAAATCATTGATACTGTTGAGATCTAATTTAGTAGGTATAAAAAAAAACAGTTTCCACGACGTATTTAGATGATATTTCACCCCGTTTCTGGTGAATCTATAGCCTGTGGTATTCATTTATACAATGTATATATTTAATTTTTACTGTAAATTGTTTTGGAAAAAGACTGAAGGTGAACATGACATTAAAAGTTAACTTTTATGCTTGCCTGCACTGATATATTTTGCTCTACATTCATCCAACATAATAAACTCGTATACGATAAAAAATTGTATTTCTGAAATTCTTATGATTACTAAAAGTCTGGCCTTGGTGTATTGGGAGTTCCTTATCGTATAAACCTGACCATCAGAAGTTGTGCATAAATCCGTAAGTAGAATCTTTTGTGTTTTACTATCTCACATTAATTACGTAGCTGATCAACATAAAATAGCTGAATTACATAACATTTTCATGAGATTGAGTGATTGACAGCATTTCGTCTAAGAATTTGTATATGGACTCAATAATATTTTAATTAGTTTTATAGAAAAATATTCATAGTTGTCATCATTTTCTGATATTTTGCTTAGTTCATGCGCTGTAACCCTGACAATTATTTTGTGCCTAAATCCATACAACTAAAATACAAGTGTTATGTATTTAAGATTTCTTAAATAAATATTGAATATATACCTAAATACACGTTGGATTAACCACGGCGCTCTCTGTTGCCTATATTGTAGAAACTATCTCACACTCACATTTACTGAGTAAAGATTCAAAATAATCTTATAACTGTTGGAAGACCTTGTATTTACTCCACAGATAGAAAATAGTGCAAATTTATGTTGATTTTATCATCTCAGATCCCATATCATCTGGTGGGTATCCGCACATTGTCACATGAAAGCAATCAGTATTAGTTGTGAGACAGTTTTAATTTAAAGTTTTGTAAATCATTTATATAAATTTTGAGCTTTTGCGCTTTTTTTATTTTATTGAATTAACTTCTCAAAGAGCATACTATAACAGCAAAAGAACGTAAATAAATTCAAAATGACAAAGAACAATGCTACAGCTTTCTCCAGTTACTGCAGCCTTTTAAACACAACGTTGCAAAGAGCAAACTATAACAACAAAAGAACGTAAATAATTTCTAAATGACAAAGAACAATGCTACAGCATTCTCCAGTTACTGCAGCCTTTCAAACACAACGTTGCAAAGAGCAAACTATAACAACAAAAGCACGAAAATAACTTCTAAATGGCAAAGAACAATGCTACAGCTTTCTCTAGTTACTGCAGCCTTTTAAACACAACGTTGCAAAGAGCAAACTATAACAACAAAAGAACGTAAATAATTTCTAAATGACAAAGAACAATGCTACAGCATTCTCCAGTTACTGCAGCCTTTCAAACACAACGTTGCAAAGAGCAAACTATAACAACAAAAGCACGAAAATAACTTCTAAATGGCAAAGAACAATGCTACAGCTTTCTCTAGTTACTGCAGCCTTTCAAACACAACGTTGCAAAGAGCAAACTATAACAACAAAAGCACGAAAATAACTTCTAAATGGCAAAGAACAATGCTACAGCTTTCTCCAGTTACTCCAGCCTTTTAAACACAACGTTGCAAAGTGCAAACTATAACAACAAAAGAACGTAAATAAATTCTAAATGGCAAAGAACAATACTACAGCTTTCTCCAGTTACTGCAGCCTTTTAAACACAACGTTGCAAAGTGCAAACTATAACAACAAAAGTACGTAAATAAATTCTAAATGGCAAAGAACAATGCTACAGCTTTCTCCAGTTACTGCAGCCTTTTAAACACAACGTTGCAAAGAGCAAACTATAACAACAAAAGTACGTAAATAAATTCTAAATGACAAAGAACAATGCTACAGCTTTCTCCAGTTACTACAGCCTTTTAAAAGCAACGTTGCAAAGAGCAAACTATAACAACAAAAACAACGACTTTATTCATTGATTTCAATAAACTACACCCACTGATCTCAAAATAAATAAATGTAATTATTTGGACTATATTAGAAGAGCAAGTGACTCCAAAAATCTCATTTATGATTCAAACTGTGTCTTAATTGATGATTGTCAACTGGTTTGATGACCTCCATTAAAAAATGCACGTGAGTCAGACCAAGCCACTTACGACTTAAGCCACCCGATTGAGCAAGAGTAACACTACCGCATAAATATCGCTTACAGAATTCAATGGCTGTATCATGTTTTCTTAGTTATTGTAGCACTGACCACTGTATAGAGAGCCGAAACTATAACTTTTGGTGGGTTGGGGGAGGGGGTGTTTAATAACACTGCTAATGAAATATCGCATGCAGAATTTAATGGCTGTATTATATTTTCTTAGATATTGTAGCACTGATAACTGTATAGAGGCCCGAAACTATACCATTTAGTGGGGTTGGGGAGGGGGTGTTTAATAACGCTGCTGATGAAATATCGCTTACGGAACTCAATAGATGTATCATGTTTTCTCAGATATTGAAGCACGGACCACTGTTTAGAGGGCCTAAACTATAATTTATATTGGGGTTGGGAAGGGGTGTTAAACGACGCAGCTGCTAAAATATCACTTGCAGAATTTAATGGCTGTGACATGTTTTCCCAGATGCTGTAGCACGGATTACTTTATAGAGGGCCGAAACTATAACTTTTAGTGGTGTGGGAAGATATATTCTTTAACGCTGCTGATGAAATATTGCTTACAGAACTTAATGGCTATATCATGTTTTCTCAGATATTGTATCATTGACCATTGTATAGAGGGGCAAAACTAGAACGTTAATTGGGTAGGAAATGGGGTGCTTAATAACGCTGCTGATGAGATGTCACTGACAGAACTCAATGCCAGTATCATGTTTTCTCGGATATTGTAGCACGTACCACTGTATAGAGAGGATCGAGACTAGAATGTTTAGTGGGTGGGAGAGGGGGTATTCATATTTTCAATTGTGGTCCACTGATTTCTTGTGAATACCAACGTATTCTACATTTAACATAATGCAAATATAGTTAAACAAATAGACCAATAAATAGACAGTTAGATGGCTAGATATAAAATTGATTTGAAATTTTTATGTGAAAGCATGGAAATGATTTGCTCAATTGCTCTCTTTAACTTTATTTATAAGAGATCTCCAAAGGAGCGTTCTATTATACGAGAAAGTTTTTCAAATTAGTAAAATGTGATTGTGGTAGCCAAAGACAATTGAAATGTTCTGCATCCCACATAAAATACAAAAAAGATGTTACAAATTTTAAAGACGTAAATTCGATCATTTGCTTGCATCGTTCGTGTTGCTTATCTTGTCAATTATTTTATACTTTAGCACTACAACATCATGATTTCTTTCACATGTTTCTAAAACAGACAAGAATCTTATCGAAAGGGCTGAAAGATATGAGAAGAATTTAAATCGCTTACTTTTTTGTGGTGTTGAATATTCATTGAATTTCATGATTCCTTTTCTACCTGAAGAAATATTTCATCAAAAAGTAAATTTTCTCGATAACGAAAACCAGCACACAATAGACACAAGACAGAAAAATTGTTTCTTGTAAATAAACCATCATATGCTTAGTAAAATAAATGAAAAATACAAAAACCATCGTTCTCAAGATATTGAAGCTTTTATTATGTTCGATTCATCTAACTTGTGACGTCACATTGCATTATAAGAACTAGAATTATTCGGTGCATTTGCTAATACTTTACTTCAACTTTGCAGAGTGTCTTTCTTTGTGATTTGTTAATGATATAAAATACTGCCTACTATTATCAACGTAAAGTTGTCAGGAAATTGAAGTTTATTTAAAACATGGCAGCGACTCATTTTGCATGCAATATGATGTCACAAGTTAGATAAATTGGTAATAGCAAGGACTTCACTTCAGTATTTTTTGAATAAAAGAATCATACATAAAAGGTTTTAAAAAGCATTCATTTCAAAGTTCTGGTCAATGTAAATATTATGTAACTAGCAAAGTTTTCGTTTCATTTGCACTTTAATGATGTTCAAACAAGGTTTGAGAGAATAATTGTTGAGTTTTCGCTGCTGATCGAACTTCAATGCTCATATTTGGCATTAATCTTATAATAGTCTATCTAAAAGATGAGTGTCGAGAATGAAAAGAAAAATTAAATGAAGCTGTTTTGTTATCTTCTGCTGTAAACAAATTTTTAGACTCTAAAAAATATGCTCTAGAATATTATATTTAAATTTTCCCAAAAACTTATGGTTATTTCTGTAAAAAATATATGAAATTACTGCAGAAAGAAGTTTTTGTGATTAATTGTATGGTATAAGCTAACCTCAGATGTTGCCAGATTTGATTGTACAATTAAAGAACTTATGATTTGTTTAGTGGTTGCTGATAAGTTTTTCAAAAATAGTATCCTTTCCTGATTGGGAAAGTTTAAGCTATTTTGACGTATTAATTTCGTTTCCTTCACCCTTGAATGGAATATTTTATCTAATTTTTTTTAGAATTGGTGTTGCAAGAGTGGAAATACATTGATGAATCGACGAAACATAGAGAATTGTTTTTAAAATTGATTGAATATGGACGCAACTCCAGTGTTGAGGTTAAAGTGGTGGGCAATGTACGAGTAATTTTCTCAGAAGAGTTTTGCATTGGTAAAGGAAGTGATGGAACACGTGTTTATCTTGGACTGGGTAAGGATGGTTACGGTAAAGCAGTGAAACAAATACGTCGAGATAGCTACATCCAGCTTGCGCTGCACGAAAAGGAAATTTTGAATAAATTCAACGCAAGAAATTCGAAATATGTTGTGAATTATTCTTTCCTAGAGGAAGAGACTGGAACAGAATATGTATATTTGACATTAGACTTATGTGAAGAATCATTGGACAGTTTTGTCAAGTCTTCTACTTTACATGATCTTCAAAAAGCTCTTCCCGAAATTCTCAGACAAATTTTGCAAGGATTAGTTGATCTTCATAGCGGCCCAAATCCTATTCTTCATCGTGATTTAAAGCCCACCAATGTTCTTCGAGATTTACAAGACAACTTTCTGATAGCTGATTTTGGCATTAGTCGAATATTGGATAACGATTCTACGACATATCAAAGCAAGCCTAACACGGGAACTGAGTATTGGATTGCTCCTGAATCATATTGTGAAGATAAAGATACAGTCGATAAAGGACGGTACAAGAAAGAGTCTGATGTAATGGTAGGGTGAAGGAATATAACCATTTGCACGACATGCATGTATACAGTCAATTTGTAACATTACATTGTTAATCTTTTTAGAATGCAGGAATGGTAAGTTATTATATTGCAACAAAGGAAAACACCCGTTTGGAACTAAACGGCATAGATTGGACAATATGTTAAATGGAAACCCTGTTGGCTTGGACGAAATCAAGGATGAAACATTAAAGACCTTTTGATGTGGATGTTAAACCGAGAACCCGAAGACAGGCCATCAGCTTACGTGGCGTTAAAACATCCATTTCTTATGTCGGATGACGAGAAATTTGACTTATTATGTAAAGTTGGAAATCTTCACCAGATTAAGACAAATGATCCCCAATCAATTGTTGTTCAACAATTGAATAGTGAGTCCTCAGACTGGAAAAGTAAAATAGACAGTGTTGTTTATGATTATTTTAGAACGGACGTGGTGACTGGAAAGAATTTTACATATGACTCTTCATGGACAGAATGTTTAAGACTTATTCGAAATATTAACCAACATTGGAACGATCGACCACGGCCAAGACCTCAACCAGAACCATTTTATAAGATTGGCGATCACAAGGCGTATATTCTCAAAAATTCCCTAATCTTCCTGTTCGAGTGCATGCTACTGTGAGGTCCAATGAAGAAGAATTGAAAACAATCCAGATCTCAAGAACTTTTTAATTTCAGTGAAAAGAAACCACATCAAAAATATACAGTTTTAAAACAGTAAAAACAGTTTGCGAAAAGGCAAGTGAACAGGAAAGATACCGTGTAAAATAGAATTTACTCAGATTGGAGAAGACAAATAAATTTTTCACGTATATGATTATTTTAATTGTTGGCTTTCATTGACAGATCGATTGATTGCGACAAGAACTAAAACCATCCATTTTATAAAGTTAATGATCCTAAGGAATTCTTTTTGAAATCCCAGTTTGGGTGCGTGCGGCTGTTTGATGTAATGACGAATTGAAAAACAACCCAGAACTTAAGAATTTTTTCAGTTTTTAATGAAAGCGAACCACAATGAAAAGTTTACTGACAGGAAAACAAGTAAGAAATCGACGATACGGTAGTTAAAGGTTTTATTTTATAGATGTAAAGTAGCAAAACACTTTTCACGACGTATTTGGATGATGCATAATCACATTTCTGCATGTAGCTTACACTATTGAATGATATAATATCTGATTATTTAAATTTTAATCTCAATTGCTTTTGTTGAAGACGTATGATATGTAAAGTCAACTTTTCTATACATTATAAAACTCTGATACGATAGAAAATGGTATTTCTGGAGCTACAATATTACCAAGGTCACGTTTATTAAAGTATTAAAAGGCAGTCATAAGGGCCAATGCCAAAAGCACAATTAAATGGACTTAAGCTCTGAATTTAATAAACATTAATTATCTGAAGAGACTAAAGCCTTTACAGCAAATAAAGAGTGAATCCGGTATAGCACGCAGCCTGAAAGTCTGGTCTTGAATGTTGTGGGCTCTTGGGAGTTGCTTATGCTGTAAAACTCAGCATCGTCTGTTGAGCAACTCCATAGATAGAATTTAGGAGTGCTTTTTTGTTTTACTATTTCACATTATTTACGCAGCTCATCAATACAAAACAGTTGAATTAAATAACATTTTTCATGAGATCAACAGAATTTCTTCTAATGGATTCTTTAATATTTTAATTAGTTTTAATTTGATTTATTAAATGAATATTGAATATACAGATAAGGTTAACTACCTCTCTCTGTATCACCTGTTTTCTAAAAACTCTCTCACGCCCACATTCATTGAATAAAGTTTAAAAATAATCTTATAACTGCTGGAAGACCTTGTATTCACTCCACTGATTGCTTGATTTGAAATATTTCACCAAAAATCTTATATCATAGATTGATGGGTAAAAGAGTTTGCATTGATTAGTAAGAACAAGGCTGTTGTGTTGCACACATTGAGGGTTAGAGTTTTGTGAGATTCTAGAATACTGGTGTATAACTTTCTCGACAACTTCACGAACATATAGTGGATGGTCAATTGAAAGAATAACTTAATGCCTAAGGTTTACCGGGGGGCCACGGCGTTTCAGCACTTATTTGGCATCTGTTTCAACTTTGTCTATTCCTGAGGCAAAATATAACCTGTAAGTAATTGTAAATTTCGGGCTTAAAACATTTTCATTCGTAAAATTTCATAAATACAAAAACTCCAAGTATTTGAATTAGGCCATCTATTAAAATAATATTGGCCATGGGCCATCCAAACACGGAAGTTATTAAATTTTATATGACCACTTACCATATTCTCACCAAAGATAGGGCATGAAAAGAAAAAAATTCAAATGATGTAGTATCAATGGAAAATTTTTTGAAATTCAAGAAACATTTGGGTCCAAACATGCAAAAAATCAAGAATTTTTGAAATCATCAGTTTTTACGGCAGCAATTCCAACATCACTATTTTATAAAACATTACGACTTTTTTTGTTAACTACAATGAACGCTTGTGTAGCCGTTTGGTAGCTGTAACAGTCAAGACAAAGCTATCTATGATGTGGGATCGAGGCTTGGCCCTGTCATTGACATTTAAGTTCTACAAACTTTGTCATATTCTTTTCTTGTACGATATATTTATGATTATTATAGACATCAACAATTACATTGAAGACCATTACGTCGTATTTGTATGGTCATGAAGCCTTGCGCACATTTTTTCATAGTGTAAGGTTGATTCCATAGAAATTTCTCTAACAAAAGAATATATGATTACGCTGTCTAATTTGAAGAAGAATAGAGATATTTGTCAAAAAGTTTGCTTCATGGCATGGTTTCCCACGTTTGCTTACAAACAAATTGATCAACATCAACACAACACTTCTCAAACTACCGTGAACACATAATACGATGTCATTTACATCCCTCTACATATAAAGGTTGTAGAATTGTTGAAAGTTGCATGCGTAAGATTTGTATATTTCATTATCTCAGACCCCAGATCATTTGCTAGGTATCCGCACATTAATGTCACATGAAAGCACTCAGTAATAATTGTGTGACAGTTTTAGTTTAAAGTTTTGTACGAGTAGCATCATTTAGCTTTTGTTAACTTATTTAACTTTGCAAACAGCACATACTATAATAACAAAGGAACGTAGTAAACTGATAAGTAATAAAGAACAAGCTACAGCTTTCACCAGCAATTTAAACATAACGTTACTAACATTAAAAACAACACGATTTATGTAATTCATAATAGTGCAAGAAATTTTTCATGAATTGACCAAGGCAGACATTATTGCCTCTTAACCTGATATCTCTTGCTTTTATTTTAGTATGATTTTAGAAATGTTCTTGTTTAACAGTGAGTTGTAACATATGATAGCTAGATTGCACAACCGTGTTTTACTTTTGCTGCAAGGATTGGTTGGCAATGGTAACAAGTCTTCATCAATTTTCACAAGACTATGAATTATTTGGTACTCGTTTACATAACACACGTCATTCTTTTTTAAATGTCATACGTAGTCGCATAGAAATCTAAGTATAACATCGGACTGAATTGTAAGAGATATTCTATATGCATGCACTTAGTAAGTATGTAAGATTTATAACTCATGCAACGGTACACAAACCACCTCCTGAAATTTGATATCCACTAAAGCACCACCTTTCACTGGAGGGAAACGAACGTACATCGTAATCCCATTTACTTCCAAAATTGAAGGGAAGTGTCAATAAACAAATATGAATATTTTCAGAAAGCAAAATTTAATTAAATTGAAGCATTCGTATGTACAGTGTACTATTATGTCATTAAAAATTGCTATTCTCTTCTACTTATAAACTATACGTCATAAAAATCATCTTCTGTACTTTTAAGACTTCATTTAAATTAATGATTTAAAAAAAAATTGTTTTCAGACTGGACCATATATTTGATTTACGTTATGCTTTATTTTGACGTTTATCACATACTTGACTTTGATAGCAACTGGATTTGGTGAAGATGGAAAACTTAATTACTATTAAGTAAAATATGTGACAACGTCTGCGACCTGTCTTCATACTAACCATTAAAGAAAACAAACAAGGTACTTTTATTAAAACTATGTTTCTTTTTAGGTTTTTATGAAGACATTCCACACATCTTTACCTGGTGTATTAATCGTTTATTTTATGCTCGCTTGCACTGTGGCAAAAAGTATTGAAATTCCCAGGAATGAAATCTTTTTTAAAGGAGACAACATACCACTTTTTACATTTACTGTAATTACTGCCACGCCGCCCCTAAACCGTAAATGTCTTAAAGAACAAAACACGTCTTAAGTTTCAATTTGTCGAAGTGAAAATGACCGACAGAAGAATCGGAACTTTCTTCCAAAAATTTTTATTTAGTCATGTCTGTCGAAAGTGGGCTCGTCCTATAAATTCATCAAGATATCAGCCCCACGTTCGTCATCTGAGCGGAGCAACTACTTGCCGCAACTACAGCGCATGCCTGTACTATCTAAAGTTTTTACCTGCGCATGATACCGATATTCCGCCCTGAAAAGGAATGCTACTTGAAGGAGATAACCCATCATGCACTTAACTTAAATTAACCTAGCGCATGTTGCACCTACGGGTGACCTCCAACGGGGGTGGGTTGAACTACTCATGCGTTATAGGGGATCCAAGAGTGCCTTAATAGTCAATGTAGAAAGCCGTTCATGGAATTCGCCAACTACCAGGACTGCATGCTTTTACCGTACTAAGAGAAAGATAGTTTTTCTTTCTAGCAAAACCACCATCTTTCCTTTGTCTTCAATAGGTCTTGCTCGCTAGATCCAGTCTTCTAGTGTCTTCTTACAGATGCTATTTGCATCCCCTACGCTAAGGTATCATTTGTACCCACTAACCCCAAGTAGAAGTTGCCATTCTTTGGCCAAACGTCACTTGCATTTCCGATCTAAGCTACATGATCCTATCTATCCTTCTGCGAGGCAACGTCCGCAACAAGCATACGTAGCTACTTAAAGCAGTATATTCACAAAGAGGTTTCCGAAGATAAATCGAGTAAAACCGACACAAATGCATGTCAATAACAGGCTAATAACCACTGATACAACTTCACGTTTACTAATTCATACACAAATTTTATTAATGAGCTCTAGAACACAAATAATTTTTGGAGTTAAAATGAAAAAACTTTTAAAACCTCTTAATGAAGACTATTTTTGAAATGAAGGGAGAAAACTACTATGAAAATGTGTATTTAATTTTATATGCATCACTTTCTTTACAGTTATGCAAGTCTATCATCATGGTGAATATAAACCACAAACATCGATGTTTTTCAACCTTATATGATGACGATTTTGTCTTTAACAGAGAAATATTCATGTCTAAAATCGGGAAAACAACGAAAATTCGTTTCTAAATCTAAGGTCTCATACTTTACATGAATAAAGATCACAGGGTCGTTTACATTTACCACTTCAATAGAAGAAAGATACTCTGTTAAAACCAACATTTATCACACACATTTACCTCAATGAAGTTGGTTTCAATAAACTCAAGGTGTATTTCACAGGCAAAGGATTTTGACTTCTTATATCGTTTCTTTCTGCACGTACTGTTGTACAGAGTCATATGGCACGTTTCTCAGGTTGAGTTAGTTTTAAAATATGTCACAAGTTGCTTAAACTGTTATCTTCTGATTGGTCAGTTCCTAGGTATGTTGTGTTCCGATTGGTCAGTTCCTAGGTATGTTGTCTTCTGATTGGGTAGCTCCTAGGTGTGTTGTTGATTGTATTTCGCAATTCTTTTTGCACTTCTAGGAACGGTATACAGGGTTTGTCAAAAAAGGGAACACCTTCATGACCACGATTCTAATCCTGCTGGTGCCTAAATGCTGTTCCTGTTCAAGAAGTTACATTCAATTTGAAGGACAGAAAAGCTTTCATGTTAATACCTGAGTTATGCAATATATGAACGTATAGCTTGCAATTTATTATGAACCCATGTGCTTAGCAATAGCATAATGATTGCATTGAAATAATCACAATAGGTCAATTTATGAAGGTCTTATTTTTTCTACGTCTTGTAAAATTAGCTTTATAATTAGCATTCATTGTTTAACGAGTATTTCAGTGGCACTTCTCATTCTTGTATATTTCATATAGGAGGAAAACTCATAGAGTTAGTATAAAGTAAACAATTGCTGGCAAGACTGCAGTTTAACGGACACCCGAAGCGCTTGTATGGGGAGCGTGGGCTCGTTTTTATTTATGATTATAAGGGTAGGGTTTGGGTCAACGTCCAAGGTGTCCGCTAAACTGCAGTAACCCCAATTGTTAAATAATTGTTTAATACGTTGTCTACAGGCTGTATCACAAAACTGCAATGTTATAATTTGTATACAGGAAATTAAACAATAAAATTTAAATGGCTATGCCTTTAAGCCATACGCTAAGCGATTTGTGATCGAACAAATTATAATTCACTTTGTCAAAGTTAGAGAAGGATCACGTGTGTTCTATGGAATTAAGAGTCTAGAACATTAGATAGAAATTCCCGAAAATTATATAGGAATATTTATTTAATGCGAGGGTATCTCAATCCCATTGGACACAACTGATTATGCACTAAGCGTCTTAGAACATGGCCAAAGCCACGAAGCATTCTATTATAGTACTAAATTTAAGATCCCATGCATGTTTTCATACAAGTGATTATTAGTTTGCAAAAATTGTTTTTTGGTGTAAAGCCTTTTTTTACTAGCAAGATAAGCATAATTATAAGGACCATCAAAACAAAAGAGAATACAAAAGAAGGCAATGAAGCGACTGACACATATGACACATGATTCAGCATAAGCACAGCAACTTGACGTAAGCATAAGTGAAAAAAACAAAGTGAAAAGAAAATCCTTTTTCTTTTATTTCCTTCAATCTCTAGAGAATATGCTTTGCTTTGTTTAATCGCTTGTGCTTACGTCGCTAGTGAAAACTAGGCTTAAGAAAGCAAATTATAAGGCAAAAATTAAGTAGCATTTAATGTCTTTAAGTAGTTCTAAGTTTTCTAAAATTGCTAAGATTTTTGTTTTCGTGCAATGAATGAGCATACAATTTAAATGTTTAACAACGTAAATTTTATGAAGATAAAAATGGTTGTTTTCAATGCACGAGTATCTAGAAATGTACAGGGCAGATTGCTTTATCGAAAAGTCAACGTAAAGTGTATAAAGTGATATGCAACTGGAAAGAAATTATAGGTGTGTTTATGGTGAAGCTTTCCAACGAGAATTTGAGCTGTGAAACCTGTTAAATTAAACACGTTCAGAAAATATTCACGAAAAATGTGCGAACAATAGCTTACATTGACATAAAAGGTAAAAGATTTTCACATGATTTTCGAAAAGCTCCTTGCCCAACAACCCTCTAAGAAAGTGTTTTGAACAGACAATAATATCTCAGATTGCTCATTGAGGCACATCAGTTCGATGCTACAAAAGGCCAAGTTTTCTGGTTATGTCGGTGTCATAAGCACTTCAACAACTTTCTTTGGAAGTTATTGAACACGTGAAAATACGTATGTTGTTTCATTTTAAGCAATACACATGTGTTTTCTTTTAAATTTGTGAGCAATTATTACGTTTTCCAATTTTTTCGTAAGATTTATTTCAGCTTTAAAATGGTGCGCAACAATAATATATTTACATCATCGAAATGCATTCGAAACGAGTTAAATTACATCTCATTGTTAGTTGTTCTGGTATGTAATATAGTCCGGAGGATAAGCTCCGAAAATTGGTCAGATTGTTCAAACATGTGAAGAAAGCATGAAACTTACCACAAATTGCTAATTTGATTTATAGATCAAAATAAAAGTGAGACCCCAGCAGGATCAGCTTGTTTAGGGTACTTTTGAGCCGATTAAAAGTTTGGTCAGCGGCTTAAATCGCGGGCTTAATGAGGCTTTTATAAAACGTTTTAAATATAAAAATGTTAAATAAAAATGTTGTATTTTATATAAAAACAACAAAACACCATGAAAATTCCGGTAAAAATTAATTAATTGTCGAAAGTTACCCTTTTTAAAGGTTATTTCGAAAACTGCATAAATTTTGGGCTCCCTGTGGCAAAGGCCTGGTCGCCTAGTTAATTTGGCATTTCCAGACGATATAGTGCTATTTCTCGATAATTTTTTTGATTATTTTTCGCTTTTAAAATGTCTTTAAACTGGAACCTTTGTGCCTTATGTCAAAAAGACACAAAAGAAAAGATTTTATGTCCGGAAAAAGCTTCAAATACTTTACTTGCTGGCTCAAGTTACAAGACAATTGCAGAAAACTTGAAAGAATTCGAGAAACTTGATTCGCTACCTATTAACATTCCACTTTCTTCTCTTGATGATGGCAGAGGTAAGGAATTCCTAATCAATTAAAAGTGAAATAAACTCACAGATCAACTCAACTCACAGATCAACATGCTCATACTATGGCTATGATAAAGCATGCAATGAAAACCGTCAAAGAATCTACTAAGTTCTTAAACCCTAATCAAACTCCTGTTATAGCGATGGACCAACCACTCTATGCACTCGCTAAGCAAATACAGTGGAACAACAAAAATGAATTCGGTGAAGATAAGTACATGGTAATGATGGGTGGCCTGCATATTGAGATGGCAATATTAAAGATGATTGGACATTGGTTAACTAACAGTGGGTGGGCAAGGTATGGTGAAGATTTGTTGTTTTTATAATCTCAATCTAATAACTAACATATATTTTTACTTTGAAGTGCTCTAATTCATGCTGAGGTTATGACAAATGGAAGAGCGGATTCTGTTTTGAAAGGATCGCACGTGACGAGATCTCGCTATGTCCACCAAGTAAGTGCCTGTGCAATTTACCTTATGCAGAAAATTGCTTACCAGGAGTACATCGAAAGTTGTGAAGACAAGCCCCCAAAATGTTATGAAGCTTGGATAAAAGAACAAAGTGAGCTTTGCCCGCAATTCAAATACTGGGCGACAGTATTAGACCTCGAAATTCTTCTACTGCAGTTTGTTAAGGCTACCAGAGAGGGTAACTTCCAAGTCTACTTACAAGTGCTTGGAAAGGTACTTCCTTGGTTTTTTGCGATGAACTTGTCTAACTACTCTAGATGGTTGCCAGTACATGTGAGAGATCTCTTACGATTAGAGAAAACGCATCCTACTCTTTTTACAGAGTTTAGTGCACATGGAAAATTTGTGGTTCAGAAGTCCCAACATCGTTTTTCTATGTCCCTTGACCAACACCACGAGCAAGAGAACGAAATGATAAAAGGTGATGGTGGAGCAGTGGGCCTCACCGAGTGCCCAACGGCCCTAAGACGTTGGATGATCGCAGGACCTGAAATTGCAAGACTGGTAAGAGAGTTTGAGTGTTCCTTTGGCGTTCAGTGTTCTACAAAGAACATTACTCACCACGAACAGACACCATCTGTCCAAAAGAACTTTGCAAAAGATGTAAAATCAATGTCTGCTGCATTAAAGGAGTTTGGAAACCCTTTATGGAAAATAGCAAGGATCTGATTGTCGTAGATACGAAAGAAATAGAGCCTGAGTGTGTTATAGAGTCGATTTATACAGCTCGAAAGATCGGAGAAGCACAATACACTAAGTACGTCGAAGAGAGACTTGAAAAGTGTAACACACCAATAACTGACACAATTGAACGCAATAAGCTTCCACTTTTTGGAACATCAGTACCAACGACAACCAACAAGACGAAACTTCAAGTCACAACATTAAAGAATGACTGCAATCTTTTTGCAAGGTTGTACATTGCTTGTCAGTCAAGAGAAGGAATCTCCAAGAATTTTTAAGCATGAAAACCAGAGTACTCCTCCTTCATTATCATCAGGGGACAAGATGCGAAGTGGCCAGAAATCAGAATTGATTGATTGTCTCGAAGCTGATGTGCAGACCACCTGTCCAAATGTTGATGTCGAAATCTTGGATGCCGCAGCTATTGTAAACATGCTTAGCCCAGGGAAGTGTAATACCTTTCAAGAATACTCCAAATCAGTGTTTGTTCCTTATATTGTTCAACAAGCAAATGGTATTAGAAGAATAGATCTTGTTTGGGACCGTTATATACCCGACAGCCTTAAGCAGGGTACTCGTTCATCGCGAGGCGCTGTAGGGGCAAGAAGAAAAGTATGTTACATGGCTGTGATCCCTGCAAACTGGAAATCATTTTTAAGATCAGATGACAACAAACAAGAACTTTTCAAGTACCTCAGTCAGGCAGCAACATCGATTCAACTGCCAAATGTTACAATTGTAAGCACTTTTGAGGAAGACATAATAAGTTCGAAGCCAATCGAAAAGATGAGTTAGCTCCTGCAATC